GTGTGTCTGTGTCTGAGTCCGTGTCCGTGTCCGTGTCTCTGTAAGTGTTGTTGAGTATGTTTGTGCGTGTTTCTATATATATATATATATACAGAACATATTTGTATATATCTATATATATATATGTATATCCTGCGGTTCATTTGTGTGTAGAGACTGATTTTCGTGTATTTACTATTCTATTGCACTCCTATTTCAAATCGATCTATTTATTTGTACATTTGTGTATTCCGTATATCTGTATATCATTCCGTATTATTAATCAGATTAACTTCTTACCCCGTAGAAGCAAATTTCAACGAAGTGGACGAATCAGACGAAGCTTTCCTGGACTTGGTCAAACACTTTGAACAGGAGATAAAGGCTGGTAGCGTTGATATTCCGTCACAGCCACTCAACACAGAGAATGCACGCCCTCAAGCACCCAGCCGAGAATCTACGTACAGTGATAGAAAGGGCAACCAGTACGAATATACCTACAGTAACAAACCCAATTCACAGTACGACTACACGGGCCAAGGGGATGACCGGGATAGTGAATTCGGCTATCAGCATCAGCACTATACGCAAGAGCGTGTGTACAGTGACAGCCCCAACCACCAGTATGAATATGCCTACAACGATCCACGCACGGGCAAAGTGAATGACAGGAAAAGCCCGCACCAGCACCGGCATCAACAACCCCACTATACTCACGACCGCGAACAGAGGCGCCGAGTGTATGCCCGGGACGAAGAGAGACGGCTGATGTATGAGCTGTTCAGAGACAGTGACCGCCGACACGAAGACACACGCGATACAGTACGAAGGACCGGGCAAGAGATCATGGCGGTGTTGTGGTCGCAGCTGGGGGGGTTCCCACCGCAGAGTCCGAAGCAACCGATGTACCCAAAACATTCTTTGTATGTAAATAGGCGGGGTTGCTGTTGTTTGTGCCAGTCCGTGGAATTTCCTTGTTGGATATATTGAGTCGCTTTGTATGGCTGTTGTTGATTTTTTAGTGTTGCTGTATGTGGGTTTCCGCAGATGCAGATGTATGTGATGCTCGTGTTCTATTGCACTTGACTGTTTGTAGTTGGTAGGTGCGAGAGGAGTGGTACAAGCTTCCATGGATATGTATTAATTATTGAATATGTATATATACATGTGTAACGAGTGAGACTTTCACATACATACCCTGTTTTATATGTGCATCAAGACATACAAATGAATAGATATGTCTTCTTCTGTCAATTCATAATAGAAGAATTATCATTGTTTATATTCACTCATACATACACACCTATATATATATATATATATATGTATGTATGTATGTATGTATGTATGTATGTATATATACATGTATATGTATATATATATATATATATGTGTGTGTGTGTGTGTATATATATATATGTGTGTGTGTGTGTTTGTGTGTATATATGTATATATATTTACATTTATGTGCGAGTATGTGAGTGTATGTATATATGTATATAGGCGAAGATATAGTATTATACATCTATGTATATTGTATGGTATTGCAATTGATATATGCGCACAGTTTTTGACCACTTGCCAACGTTCTATGCATCATTCGTTCCTAATAATGCACACCTCTCTCGTCACTCAGCGGAGAGTCCTTTTATGGTCAATCGGGTCCGGTCGGGGATACTCCCGCGCCAGAACTACAGAAGATGCAAGCAAAATTGATCGAGAAAGCTAGTTCATTGCATGACGAGCTGCAGAATCTTAAGAATTCCAGCAAGATAGAGCACACATTGTATGTGGCTCAGAACGAAACATGCACAGCCTTGCAGCTGGAGTGTGGAATCCTGAAGACCGATTGCGACGCCTTGAAAGCCGAGTGTGGCACCAACCACACTTTGTGTATGACTCAGATACACAATCTTACGGTGTCTGTTCAGGAATGGGAGAATAGAGCGAGTGCCCGTGATGCGGCCATGAAACAGCTTCTCGAGTCGAGGGAGACAACCAAAAAAGCGCTCAATGCCTCTACAGAGCGTGTGGCGAGTCTGGGGAGCGGTCTCTCGGTGTGCAACACGGACCTGCAGCAACACCAATCAGCGCTAGCAACGGCCAATGCCTCACTAGCCGAGTGCAGCGAACGGGAGGAGGCATCTGTGCTAAAGCTCACGGAGACAGGCAAAGCCCTCAACACAAGTCAGTTGCGAGTGGATGAGCTGGAACAGATGCACAGGGACTCTCAGCGCAGTAGACAGCAGGATCTGATGCAGCACGAAGCGGTGTATGCCGAGTGTGTGGCTAGCTTGGCCCAGCAGGCGGTGGTCAGCGCAGAGGCCCTGAACACGTCCACCCGAGCAGTCGCGACGTGCCAGAGTGCGATGCGAATACAGGCGAGGAAGGTGTATGATCTGCATGTGCAGGTGCAGAAGTTATCGGATGAGCTTCAAGTGAGCGAGCGAGAGCGAGAGCTCCCCATCCAGTGCACGCCTGGCTCAAGCGTACCTTCGCCAGAGCCTCCTATAGTGCAAACAACTAAAGAGGAACCGGCTGTACTGGACCAGCCGACACCTGGCCCCACCCAACACCAGACAGAGGAGACGGAGCCTTCGCCTACTATTGCCCCCGAACTGGGCTCGGATACCGGTACAGATGCCTCGCCAGGAGGTTCGGACTGCGTACAACTGACGGAACGAGAGGAAAGTCTCACAGCGCGAGAGAAAGAGTTGGAGGACAGAGGTAAAGCCATGGCTGAGCGAGAGGCGGTGTGCCAGAGAGAGGAGGAGGAGCTCAAGATCAAGGGTGTGCTTGTTGACAATAGAGAGAAGCAGCTCATGCTGCGCGCAGAGGCCCTGGACGGGGTTGTGGCCAACGGGCCAGGGTATGATATCGTGACCGCGATCAAGCTAGCGTGTGCCTCGGCCGAGAGTGCGGGAGTTGCGGAGATGGTTAGGCCTGAGTCCGGAGGTAATGGATCCGTAAAGGCAGAGGGGGTGGATGGGCTATTTATGGGCGACGGCTCTACATGCACCTGTATGTCACAGGTCCGTTTGGAGCAGTTGGAGGCGCACAATGCCGAACTCCTGGCGGATGCGAAGTCTGCCCAGGCCACGATCCAGGCGGGAATTGTTCCTCTGTACTTCCTTCGCCCGTCTATGCTCATGGCCTCGACTGACGGGATTGTATGGGGGACTCATGTGTATGTGGTGTTCTCGTCCGTGCTGTTGTTTGCACTGAGTGTAATGCTGGCTGGTGGCATGCTGGGGCACGGGGGTATGTCTCAAGCGGAGGTGGATGTGTTGGTGCAGAAGAGAGGCCAAGAGGTACAGCAACACATGCAGCAGCAGATGGATCAGAAGGTCCACAGACGGCTGAGCACACCCGAAGGTAACCACAATGCGCAATCGCATGAGAGGCTTGAGAGTGTGCTCGCTGAGCGGCAACAGATGTTGGAGGATATAGCTATGCTGAACGATGATGTTGCGTCGAGAGACAGGCAGATCATCGAGTTCCGTGTACTTACCGGCGATATGATGACATCAATCAAACAGCACAAGGAGGACGGCAATGAGGTGCAGAAGTTGAAAGCTGCGCTTGCGGAGTCGGAGAGGGTTCGCGAACTGAAGGAAAAGACCTTCTACGAACTGGATCGGAAGAATATGCGCGCGCGAGAGGCTGCGGCAGAGGAGCATGCGGAAGCTGTGAACGGCCTGCGCGCGGCTGTGGCGCACCTGGAAGGGGTGGTGAAAGCCCGGGAGACGCGGTTGAATGAGTTAGAGCTTGACCTGGACGCGCTGAATACGGCGTTAGACAATACGCGACAGCGAGCAGAGCAAACCGATCGTAGCCGCGATGAGACGCTTGGCTCTCAGCAGGCTATAATCGATAAGCTGCGAGCAGAGCTGATGGCGTTGGAGAGCAAGTGTGCGACACTAGATGTAGCGGAAGGCGCGGAGGAGTCTAAAGCGGTCAAGGAGTTGGAGATGAAGCACGCGGCCGCGCTGGAACAGGTGCGATTGGAGAGGGACGAATGCGCACAAAGGGCTCGGGAATACCGCGAGAGTCGCGATCAACACGCGCGGGAGGCTGCGGCTCAGAGCGCCGAGCAGAGCACGCGGCTGAAGGCCGAGAAAGATGCCATATGCAGGCTGCAGGAAGTCATTTCAGAGCGTGCAAAGGCCCACGCTCTAGAGGTGAGGAAGGGTCAGCTGTGGAAGCGATACCTCGAGAAGGAGCTGGAAGGGGCTCAGAGTGAGGCTTCGAAAATCACCGCCGAACTTGTTACTGTCAACAACAAGTACAAGGCCGTGGTGGAGATATTGGAGCGCCACAGGATACCCGGGGCCAGTCAAGTGACTACTCTGCTCTCACCAGCGGAGCCTGAGAAGCCTGCGGGGAGTTCAATGGCGGGTGAATTACTTTCTCCGCCAACAGGCGACTCAGAGGTACTGCACAGAAACCTGGCACGGGATCAGGGAACCCTGCACCACGGCACAAGTATCGTGGGAGAGCAACCTTCGGAGGAGTCAGTGGCTCCGGCAGTGTCCTCGGCTGAGCCGAGTGAGGATTTGGGGCTGTCTTCCGAAAGTGCTGCAGACGCTATGGACGTCTCCGCAGTTGAGAGGGCGAGTGGGGTAGATAATCCATCGATGTCATCCAGCGGGGTGAACGATGGTATGTCGCATGGATCAGAGGTTCCCCAAATACCGTCCTCGTTAACTCCTCCGCCTACGGACATCAGCCCGATACCAGAAAGCAGCAATACACACGGCGCACTTGACAGTGTAGCTATCGCACCGGCTAAGGCAGGACATAGCCAGAGGATGTCCTCTTCAATACCTCCACCACCCCTCCAGTTACCACCGCCACCCACCCATTTACCATCGCCGCCCACTCATATGGATGCCATGGCCAACGGCTCCAACACACCCGTAGGGCAGCCAGAAGGGAGTGTGGACGGGGCAGAAGAGCGTGCAGCGAATGGCACTGAACCACCCGTCGCCGATGTGGCAGAAGCGCCTGCGGCAAGCGATGCACAGGTGAATACCACACCCACTTTCTATAACCCGACCAGCTACGGCAAGAAAGCGGCTTTCCCGTTCGCGACCAATTCACAAGTATAGTGGGGGGATGTTTTTTCGGTATGTAATGACTCCTAGTCCCGCGGTAATCAAATCTGTAGTTCGGATAGTCCCCGCTGATATAAATAAACAACGTTTTTATGTTCTCTCTGTCCCAAATTACTTTGGTTTTTTAAATAAACTGCAAGGCCTCAGCTCATTAAGCGTAACAATCTATACTCTTATTAGGAGTTCTACTGTCTTTTATGAAAGTAGTATTGAACTATTAGTGCGGATTATATGAAAGTAAAGATAACTCTCAGTCAGAATATATGAAAGTAGTACCTTTTAGTACAGATCATATGAAATTATATTGATTTAAAGTGCAAATTTTTTGAAAGTAGTAATAACTTTTAGAGCAGATTATGTGAAAGCTGTCTTAGGATTTAATACAAACTATATGAAAGTAGTTATTACTTCAAATGCAGATATATGAAAGTAGTATTTCACTTTTAAGTGCGGGTTTTATGAAAGCAATATTTACTTTTGGTGCAGATTACACGAAAGTAGTATTTAAAACAAATTCTATGAAAGTAGTATTAACTCTTAGTGCAAACTTATGCAAGTAGTATCAACTCTAAAACGCAGATTATATTAAAGCAGTAACACTTTTTTAGTGCAGATTTATATGAGAGTAGTTTTAGCTTTAGTCAGACCATATGATAGTAACAATACCTTCTATCGCAGATTATATGGAAGTACGAAAGTAATATCAACTTTTGGTACATAGTGTATGAAAGTAGTTCTGGCTGATAGTTCATATTATATGAAAGTAGTAATGACTTTTAGTGTAGATTGTATGTAAGTAGTAATGACATTTAATACAAATCATGTAGAGGTAATAATAACTTATAGTGCAGATTATATGAAGGTGATATTGACTTTTAGTGCAAATCATATGAAAGGAGTAATTATTTTTAGTGCATATTATATGAAGGTAGTGTTAGAATTTATTGCAAATTATATGAAAGTAGTAATAAGTTTTAGTGTAGATGTATGAAGTGCAGATTATATGAAGTAATAATAACTCATAGTGAAGAATATATAAAAGTAGTAATTTTTAATGCAGATCATTAAAAAGTATCAATGGCTTTTAGTACAGATTACATGAAAGTAACAATAACTTTCCGTGCTGATTATATGAAAGTAATAGTTATAACTTTCGGTGCAGATAATATGAAAATAATTCTAACTGTCATTTCAGGCTATATGGAAGTAGTGACAACTTTTAGTGTAGATTATATAGAAATAAAAACTCATAGTGCAGAATATATGAAAGTAGTTATAACTTTTAATGCAGATTAGTAAAAAGTAGCAATGACTTTTAGTGCAGATTATATTTAAGTAGTAGTAACTTTCAGTGCTGATTATATGAAAATATTAGTTTTAACTTTTGGTGCAGGTAAGTTGAAAGTAATTCTAACTTAGTTCAGATTTTATGAAGGTAGTGATAACTTTTAGTGCAGATTATAAATAGTATTAATGGCATTTACAAAATAAAACAAATTATATGAAAGTAGTAACACCTTTTAGTGCTGATTATATAAAAGCAGTATCAACTTAATAGTGTAGATTGTATGAAGGCAATAATAACTCTTATTGCAGCAGAGTATATGATTGTAGTGTTAACTCTAAGCGCAGACTATACAAAGTAGGAATCGCTTTTGGTGCAGATTACATAAGAGTACTTTTTAGTCTTCTATTTTATCTATTTCAACTTAGATAAAGTTTTATATGCCTACACGAGTAACATCTTTTAGTGCTGATTATATTAAAGCAGTATCAACTTAATAGTGTAGATTATATGATATTGTAGTAGACTATATGATTGTAGCGTTAGCTCTAAGCGCAGATTATACAAAGTAGAAATAGCTTTTGGTGCAAATTACAGAAAAGTAATTTTAGCCTTCTATTTTATTTGTTTCAACTTGGATAAAGTTTTTATGTCTACATGTATATCAGGCTTCATATTCGTTTATAGTGGAGATTATATATTAAAAAGTGACAATAACTTCTATTGCAGATTATATGAAAGTAGCTGTATTAACTGTTAGTGCAGATTGGGTGAAAGTAATAACTATGAGTGTAGATTGTGTGAAAATGATTGTTAGTGCATATAATATTGAAGTAAATTTTAGTGCAGATTAATATATAAAGTATTTTGATTTTTATTGCAGCTTATAAAAGTAATATTGAGTTTTAGTGTCAGATATAATCTGATAAAAGTGAGAATAAATTTTAGTACAAATTACAAAAAGGTGGTAATTACTTTTAGTGCACATATGAAAGTAGGAATATCATTTTCTACAGATAATAGAATAGTAGTAATGATCACTTTTATGGCAGTTTATATGAATGTAAAAGTAACAACTTTTAGTGCAGATTTTATAGAATTGGCAATAACTTTTAATACGGTTCATATGCGAGCAGTAATAACGTTTTAAGTTCAGATTATATTAAAAAAGTAGTATTCATTTTACGTGCATATTATATAAAATTACTAATCATATTTAGGGCAAATTATATGAAAGTTATATTATTTTTTTAAATGACAGAAGTCCTAACTTTGCAGGTTGTATAAAAATAACATTTCCTTCTAGAGATTCTTTCTAGTGCAGTTTATATGAAAGTAGTATCGATTTTTAGTGCAGATCATATGAAAGTAGTAATGACTGTTAGCGCAGAATACATGGAAGTTGTAGCACTCTTTATTATATTGTATGAAAGCAGTACGAATAATTTTTAGTGTAGATTATATTTTATTGCATATAAGAACTTTAAGTGCAGTTTGTATGTAAGTAGTATTAGTTTTAGTGCAGAATATATTTAAATAGTATTAACTTTTAGTGCAGATTGTACGAAAGTGGTATTAATTTTTAGCATATTGAAAGAAAGTAGCGATATCAACTATAGTGGTAAAGAGCAACTTTAGAAAGTTAAACTAGGGGAGATGTTGCCGTGGAAACCAAAGGTCATCTGATGGGCCGTTTAAGGGAGGAATGAGGATGACAGAGTAAGGATTGCCCAATGGAGTTGCAGCATCGGAAAAAATGTGGAATCCTTCAAGGGCTCAAGGTCGACGAAAGAAATATATATACGATGTAGTTAAGTATAGAAATATGAAATAGAAATTTGCCACTTGCGCACAGCACCTAGGATTCAAACCTAGGATTCAAAATAACATAGCACACTGTTAGCAAAAAATCATGACAGTCACAGGACCATACTTTCGACCACCGTCTAGCGGGAACGATTA